ACCTCAAGCAATCTCAACAATAAATTTTAAATCAACTCCTCTACCTTTCATAATATGGAAATTATTCCTAACTTCAAGACATCACTTCAAGTCTATCCTTTAAAACTTAATATAATCAATCTTCACTCTAAAATTTTCAACTATAATTTATATAATAAAATCACTATTTATTCTATGTGCAGACCTCAAAGAATAAAGCATTTATAGCTTTAGGATTAACATTCCAACAATCCAAACATCCACCATCATCACACTCATAAAAAACCATAGATATGTATATTCCATTCTTTCAGATTTTGACAGCATAATACCATTATTCAATAGCGTCAAATTTTATAATCTTACCATCAACAACTTTACCTACAATGATATCTAATTTATATGAACTATATGCTAATACTATTATTAATAATCAGCAACTTCTAGGGATTAATCTTTAACAATTCAATCAGTTCTCTCTCTACTCACCTCGTCCAAACTTCAAGATTGGAGCAAACTCTTGCCTCATTGCTTAACATCAATCTTCATTAAATCTGTGAATTTTCTAGCTTCCCTCTTAGGTTTCAAACCAGCCATTATTGTATTCAAACATGGCTTAGATAGTTGGGGAAATATTTTACATGGGCAAGTATTAAACAAGACATTTGAATAGTCTTACAACCACTAAAATCTAAGTTCTCACACACACACACACACGTTTTTATCCATATTTGTTCCTCAATTATTTTTAATGTTTAAGTTTTCTTTCACTATCTTTCATGGAACCTAACGCCATAACCCAATGAAACAGCAAACTTCAAGCTTCACAACTTCAGTTTAACCATCCTCTTCCAATTCCTGAGTCATAAAATATTCTTTTAACATCCGGGTAAAATCCAACAAATTAATTACAATCAGTTTCTAATTCTAACTTCAGTATTTTGTGTCACAATCAACCATCCATATATATGTGTGTGTGTTTCAATTTTATTCCCCATCCTCACACACCCAAGCTTCGTTCATATATATATGTATATAAACACACACACACACACCCCCCATTTATGCTCTTCATTTTCTCATTAAACCCACATCATCTCTTTGAACCATTACCCCTGTTTCGGACACTAAGAACCAGAGAAGAAGAGCAATAAAATTATCTTCGCAGATCAGTCACGAGTTACACAAAATTGAAGGAGAAAGTGACATGCAAACCCCTGTATAATCTATTTGGACTTCACTCTACCTCCTTCAATTCGGCAAACTTCACCCATTTAAATTCCATAGGGTTAGGCGCCATAAAGCAGAACAGGGGCTGGAAGATTAAGCTTTGGAATCATCAATAACATAACCCAACAGCACATGCAACACTACCATTCACTTGTTTGAGCTTCTAACTACATCCGCCCTCCAATATTTCATTCGATTCATAGCTTTCTTTGATAAGCCACATCTTTAATCTATCATCATTTCCTTCGAGACGCAGAAAACGAAAGAAATTAAGGTAGGAGAGTGTTAGTCGGTCTTACCTCAGTCAGAAAACACTATTGCATGTAAAATTCTCCCCTCCGATCACCACTTCGCCGGTGACGCACTTCTCTCTGCCTCTTACGTTTTCTCTCGGTCTCTTTCTGATTTCCTCCGGATTTCGGCGCGGAACGTCTCCTATTCTTTACCATCCTCTTATCATCCTCTTCTCTAATCGTAACCGTTTATTTCATCTACGGCCAAAAACACAACACACACTTTAACACAACTATGTGTTTTGCCTTCGGACGTGGGTTTCCTCTTTCACTCGCATTGCGCACGCAAATTCATGGATATGAAAATAGGGAAGAGGGAAAGCGTTATCTCCCGCCGCTAACCGAACCCTGGTATGCTGCTATTCCGTTTTCTCTTTCTGAAGCTTGGATTGTATCTCTCGGCGATCGCTGCTATTCCGTTTTCAACGGTCCACCCTTTTCACATCACCTTCGTCCAAATATTTCAAGAACATCAAGTACGTCATTTTCTTGGAGTATGTTATTCTTTGGTGTGATCATTCCAAAATATATCAAAACGTCCAGATTTGAGATGCTTCCAGTATACTTTCCTTTTAATTGCCCCTTCATTTGTTTTTATAATAATAAAAAAAATTATTCATACCAAAGAAATAGATAAAGTAGTTTCAAATAGGTTATGTATGTAAATATTTATCTCATATGGTTCCCTTCGGCCATTCCTTTTTTTTTTATTAGTTAATTGTATCTATTGTTTACCCATCACTTTTATTTATTTAATGTTTTTATGTGTTGTAGCTTTGAGTGATGGATACAAGTGACGTAACTCCTATACTTGGTCTTGAATTTGATAGTCTAGAAGAGGCACACCAATATTGGGTTCGCTATGGTGGAAGAATAGGATTTGATGTTAGAAAACAAAATGTTAACAGAAGCAAGAAAGATAATTCTATTAACTATTACAAGTATGTTTGTTCAAAAGAGGGAGTTAGAAAGACGGACAAGAGAGATTTTAAAATTAGGAAGCCTCGGCAAGAAACAAGAACAATGTGTGAAGTAAGAATGATAGTTAAAAAAGTGAATGGAAAATATAAAGTTAGTGAACTTTTTTTGGACCATAATCATCCTTTAGAACCCGGAGAAACAGTTCACATGTTAGCATCACAAAGGAAATTACCAAAATCACAAGCCTATGCTTTGAATGCTGCTGAAGATGTTGGAATTATGCCAAAAGCATCTTTTAATTTAATGAGTAAATATGCAGGAGGGAAGGTTAATTTGGGGTATACCCAAAATGATGTAAAGAGTTATCTAAGATCAAGAAGGCAACGAGAATTGGAATATGGTGAAGCTGGGTGTCTACTTCGTTATTTTCAACAACAATTAACAGAAAATCCTTCTTTTTTTCATGCTTATCAAATGGATTCTCATGAACAAATAACGAATGTTTTCTGGGCTGATGCATGTATGTTGATAGATTATGTTTGTTTTGGGGATGTCATTTCATTTGATACAACATATTCAACAAATCGTGAAAACAGACCACTTGCCATTTTCTCAAGTTTTAATCATTACAGAGAAGTTGTGATATTTGGTGCAGCTTTATTATATGATGAGACCATTGAGTCTTTTAAATGGCTTTTTGAAACCTTTTTACAGGCACATAAGAATAAAATGCCATTTACTGTATTTACTGATCAAGATGATGCAATGGCACGAGCATTAGAAGAGGTAATGCCAAATGTAAAGCATAGTCTATGTACATTTCATATTAATAAAAATGCAGTGAAACATCTTGGGAACTTAATGAAGGATAACTCTCGTTTCTTGAGTAAGTTTAATTGGTGCATGTATCATTGTGAGGAAGAAACAATGTTTGAGGAATCTTGGAAAGCATTATTAGAAAAGCACAATGCAGTTGATAATACATGGTTGATGTCGATTTATAATTTAAAAGAGAAGTGGGCAGCATGTCATATGAAAAACTCGAAGACTCTTAGTATGAGAAGCACACAACTCAGTGAAAGCATCAATTCATTTATAAAAAAGTGCACAAAACCTGATATGAATATCAATAAATTTTTTAAAACTTTTGAACAAGTTGTTGTGGAAAAACAGTATAATGAATTGAAGAGTGATTTTAACTCACGACAGAAGTTTCCAAGGTTGATTTTGAAGAGTTCATCTATGCTTCAACAACTTTCTCAAGTCTACACTCCACCAATTTTTAACTTGTTCCAACAGGAGTATGACTTACGTGATGCTACATGTATTAAAGAGAAGAAAGAAAGAAAGAAGAATGAAGAGGCTGATGCTATTGTGTTTGATTATGTGATTACAAGGGTTGACAAAAATGGAGAGTGGAGATTGACATATGAGCCATCAAGAGAAGACATGGAGCCTAACATTACTTGTAGTTGTAAAAAGTTTGAACAGTGGGGAATATTATGTTGTCATGCACTAAGAATATTGTACGATCAAGATGTCAAGCGACTTCCACAAAAATATATTTTAAAGAGGTGGACAAGAGAAGCAAGGTGTGGTGTGGTGTATGATTCTAAGGGAAAGGAAATTGAAGTTGATCCTAAACTAGAATGCTCAAATCGATATAGGCAATTGTGCCCAATGCTTATAAAATTAGCCAATGATGCATCTGAATGCCCAGAGGCATTCTCTATGGTTCATCAAATGGTTCTAGAACTTAGTAAGAAAGTGTCTGAACTTCTTATTAAACATTGGTCAGATGATGTTAGTAGTAAATGTGCCGTTGTTGATGATGATGGTAAGAATGAGGGTGAAGGAATTGGATTCAAGAAGAGGGAACGTAAAAAGATTGATAAAAGTTGGGTTGAGAAGCCTAATCAGAAAAGAAGAACTAGTAGAACTTCAAAAAAACCGACTAATAGGCCTTCACAATGTTCAAAGGTATAAATATTTTTTGCTGTCCTATTTCAATATGACATCATGTTTTTTAATGATACTTTTTTTTTATATTGTTACAGGAAACTGAAAATACATTAGAGGTAGCTAGCCTGTCAACCCCAGTGCAACATATTCCACCTATGTCAAATACACTGGTGCCAATGCAATATGGTCCTACTATGTCAAATGCACTGCTACCAATGCAATACGGCCCCTCTTTGTTAAATGCAACAGTTCCTATGCAATATGGCCCTCCCATGTCAAATACAGTAGCTCGTACGCAGTATGGTCTTCCTATGTCAAATACTCTAGCATCAATGCAACATCATCTACCTATCTCAATACATCAATGCCAATGCAACAGGATTCATTAGTCTCAAAGACGCATGGACTAAGCCAAACCACATTCACAACATTAATGATGGTGAGAATGTTACATTTCTAGTTTCCAAGTAGTTTATTTGAAATTTCAAACATGTTATGTTATTGTCATTTTATTTTTGCTTGTAGGCTCAAATGGACCATGATGTGAAGTCACTTGAAGCACTACAATTTAGTCAAGCATTTGCAAAAGGTAAATCATACCACCACATGAAAATATACCGGAAAGGTCAAGATAATTTTTCTCAATAAAAAAATTCAATTACATGAGAATTGCTTTACATTTCTACATATAAACTATGTTGCAATATGTTACAGATACAAGCTCAGATATCAACACAAATCCCAAGATATGAAGTCCCCATGTCAACTCTACTTTAGCACTTCTTCTTCCAAGCTCAACTTTTCTAGTCAAGCTAGCTCATTAATTTGGTGTTCGTGTTTCGTTATAATGTTGCCTCTTTTTTTTTTTTCATACTTTGTTGCAATGCTGTCTTTTTTGCTCATTCTTCTGCATCACCTGCAAGTTTATAAGTAATATTGCGACAATATCTTTTAGGTGCTTAAAAACCTCCTGATGAGACAATTGGCTTTGAGAATTATCTAATTCTTTATTCTTTTCCTTAAAAAAGCCCATCTTCTAAAGAACTCACTATCCACCATTAAGAATCAACACCACAGGCAATGGGCAGAGTAACAGTTTTGTTGTCATATTACACACAACAAATTTGGGGGAATAAATCACCTCTATTTTCAAAATCTTCAGTTCCATTACCTAATCATTGCAAACAACTACTTAGCATGTCAATCGAGCTATGGACAATCCATCAACAAGAAATTCGCATTTTCTTTATTTCTTTAAACTATTTTCTTAAATAGGGGAGTTCTTATCATAAATCAGCAAATGAATCTCAATTGTCAATGGTAGAATATTCATCACTTCCTTTTCTATTTACAAATAGAAATCTGGCCTGTAAATAAAGTAATCACCACTCGAAATAAATGTATTCGAAAGGTATTCAAAAAATAAGATTATAAATGTATTCAAAAAATAAGAGTTGAAGAGCTTTAAGTCAATACAATTCCGCCTGGGCTGAATCTTTCGAAAGGTATTTAAAAAATAAGATTATAAATGCATCCTCCATATGAGGCGGTGAGGGATCGAAATTGTAGAAGAGCAACATGTGGGTTCACGAGATTTGAAGCATTTCTAGTTCAACCTGATATCATATATTGCACGTGAAAGATGAGGTAACTAACCTATGGTTGGCATTCATCGACTCCACCGGAAAGTCGCAAGATTCCGCCAGATTCAGCTGCTATCCGCCGCGGTAAGGCAGGGTCAAGTGAAAGCCCCAAGCGTCGATGCGCGCAATGCGAGTGAAAGAGGAAACCCACGTCCGAAGGCAAAACGCATAGTTGTGTTAAAGTGTGTGTTGTGTTTTTGGCCGTAGATGAAATAAACGGTTACGATTAGAGAAGAGGATGATAAGAGGATGGTAAAGAATAGGAGACGTTCCGCGCCGGATTTCCTCACGATTTACAAATGAAGAATGAGAAGAGAGAAGGCTTGTGATCAGATTATATTATTATAAGGGTGCGAAAATGAAAGGACTATTTTACCCTTTAATCGTTTCTTATTTCGATATTCATCCTTTCACTAAATTTCTGAAATCATGGAATAAATTCGGAAACTTTTTCACAGTGTTTTGTGTGAATTATTTTTCCTTCTCCATTAGTTTTTTTACCCATAAAATAATTTTTCTAAAAATTTGACATTAAAAATCAACTCCTAACTATTTTTCTTAAGTTTGTTAAGAAAATAGCCATTAATTTCAGAAATTAATCTTTAATTCAGTTTAACAATTTTATGTCTGAATTAATTTCTTTACTTTATAAAATAATTGTCCTAAAATTTTTGGCTCAAATATAAACCTCCGATTATTTTTCCTTAAACTTTCTAGGAAAATAAGGCATTTTTGCTCCAAAAATTTATTTTAAAATTATTTAAGCCATTTTTGGGAAATAAATTTTTCAAAAAAAATTTCTAAACTCTGAAAATCAATATTTCATAATTTTTTCCAATTTTATTTTCCTATTAAATAACTTTAATAAATTTGTTCTTTTCTGTTCCGTCAGAAAATTCAGAGTGTTACATATAAATTTTAAAATTTTTTTGCCATCAAAACATTTAGCCCTTATATTAACATTAATTACTGGATGTATTATAATATTTTTCAGTCCGATCCAATTATTGAGATATTCAATTTAAATGAGTGTCAAATTCTTTTCTTTTGCCGCAGCATCTGTGACATTGTTAATTGTCAAAATTTTGGAGTTAAATTGACATGGACAATCCAATTTTCAAGTACTATCGGATACTAAATATGGACATATATTTTAGTAGAAATTTAAATCTTAATTCACTACATTATGAGATATTAACTCTTTTTGTTAGATTCAACCTGCTTACTAATTTATTTTCCTATCAATTTTTTTAATTCTTACAATTGTACTTTGGGTCTCCGAATCTCTATTGCGGGCCACACTTAAAAACTGCATTATGATTTGACCAATATTGCGGAAACTTGGGGGCATCCGATAAGGTTCTGAAAAAGACTATAGAGCAATTTATTGGGCCTATGTCAATTACTTAGCATAATCAACGAAACGACAGCCAACTTTTTTTTTTTTTGGTCAAAAAAAGACAGCCAACTTAAATTAAAGATAATAAACTACCACGCTTAATATATACGGGTTCGGATTCTCCCAGCGGTTGGCTTCTCCACGTCTCTCAGAAGCCTTGAATCCTACCCGTCCAATCCATCCAAGCAACCATAAGGAGACACGTCACAAGGGTTTTAAAATTGTATCTAAACCGTCCGTCTGGTTATATTCTGACCATCCATTCAGTTTCATGTCCTGCCAAATCCCTATCACCTTCGCGAATGCACTCTGCCATCCGAGTTTCAACCCATCTGTGACGCAAATAAGGAGCTTCGTCGTCACCCATGGTCTGGCATCTACATTACAAATTACACCTCTTCCTTATCTTTACCCTTCTACTCTATCATTCTCTTCCTTATTATTTGACTGCTAGATGCTTACTTCGCTCAATTGATTTTTTTCCCATTCTTAGTGCGTCTTCGTCGACTACTAACTTTCATCCGTTCTCAAAATTGGTTCTCTGACTTGAATTTTCGCTTTGCTTAATTGTAATCTATATCAATAAGCCTTTACGGATTCAGTTCAATCAACACAGAGGCATTCTTATTCTTCGCCACTGTTCCCCTGTTTTCTTCATTGTTTATTCTTTCTTGTTTCTTTGGCTACCGATGCTTTCTTGCTGCACCAGTCAAATTTTAATGCGTCAACAATTTATGCTGGAATTGTAACGCATTATATATATACATATGCTAGCTTGACAATAAAATGTTGTATTCCCTCTCGCTTACACAGTCGAGAAGCAGATCTCCTGTTATGAGCTATTAAACAAACAAGAAAGGGACCTTCTTTACTGCTATTAACAACTTAGGAATACTGAAACTATAATGAAGCTTTTATTTTCTTTTTTTCAATCTCCCATTCTCCCTTGGAAAAGCATCGACTGATGTTTATATCCCTTGTTGGCTTTGTCGTCTTGATATTTCTTATGGTCTTGAGTTTCTATCATGGTAGCAAGAGATGGCTCAATCACTTGTAAAGATCAGTTTGGGTCATCATAATGCATTTTCATATGATATGAAGATGAACCAGATTGCCTTGCGTGAAGCTTTCTCACCAAGTTCAGCTAGCAGAACGTCGAAGTTTTATTGTTTTAAAGGCATAAAATATAGGCAGCCAGGATCCGACGGTTCCTATTCGAGTTTTGGCTTCCAATACTTTTTGACGTGTCTACCTGTGACTGCTCCGATGGATTGGATGGCTAGGATGTTAAGATTCTGACGGATGAGGAGAAAATAGCTTCTGAAAAGATCTGCTCCCTGTTGATAACAATGTTAATAGCCACCTTTTTCTTTTAGGTCAACCAAAAGAAAGTTTTTTTTGTGTGTTGGGAAATCATGTTTTTGGCCAATCTCAGGAAATGGGTACTTATTATCAACTTGTTTGTAACGAACCCAGGCCCAAAGTTGCAAGAGAAGCTGGCCTAAAATGAACTAGTCCGGAGAAGCTTGAGGATTAAGAAGAAAAGCTGGAAGCTTCGCGAATTGGAGAATGACGCATGACTATAATAGGATGAGGGAGTGTAAGGATTGGTGTGGAATATTTTATTGAAGACTCTCTCTCTCTCCCCTTGGAGGAATCTTTCCTTATTTCCTTTCTGCAAACTCTGACATTTCTTTTCGTATTTCCTGAAAGCTTGTACTATTTCCTCATTGATTTTGTACTATCGGATCATATGGCCGTTGAGGAATATCTATAAAATCAATACAGCTTTCTCATATATATTTGTCATTATCCATCGTTTCTTTAGTCATTGCATTCTGGTGCTTCCATTGAGAGAGCAATGGCGGAAAACACACGACTCAAAGAACTACAAGTTGATATGAAGAAGGCGAACGAATTTATTGAGGAGGCGACTGGTCGATTCAGTAAGATCGAAGGCCTTTTGGAAATGCTAGTCAAGTCCATGGACAGCATCCACCAGAAGGTAGAACAATCATCTTCAAGCTCGAAAGAACCCTCGGTACCAGAAGAGGAGCCAGTGAGCCAGGCCGTTACTCATACGATGGGGAAGCAGATTAAGATAGAGTTCCCCAGGGTTGATGGCACGGACGCATTAGACTGGATTTTTAAGGCTGAGCGGTATTTTAAATACTATAAGATCAAAGACCCACAACGTCTCATAATAGCGTCAGTTCACTTTGAAGGGAACGTACTGCCATGGTTCCAAGTTTTGGAGAAGACACACCAAGTTACCGACTGGGACTCGCTCGCAAGGGCCGTGGAAGATCAATATGGACCTTCAAGGTTTGAATGTGCTCGGGCGCAACTATTTAAGCTGACCATGTAGAACAGCTTGGATGAATATAACACCAAGTTCATGGCACTATCTAACCGTACAGAGGGTGTACCAGAGTTGGCATTATTGGACTGTTACGTAGGAGGACTGAAAATGGAGTTAAGGCGGGATGTGTTGGTTCAACGTCCCACATCAGTCCGATCTGCAATGGCGCTAGCTCGTCTCTATTATGAGAACTTAGCATATGGGGTAAATGTTGCAAAGGAAAGAGGAGGCTCAGGCACGAGTGGGCTCGCCCTTAACAGAGCTAGTAACACGATGGTGTCAAGGAACAGTAGTGCCAGTCATACCGCCATGGGAGGAGGAAAAGCTAATCTACCTCCACTGTTACCTACACCTAATACTCCTCAAATTAAGAAGTTGACACCCGCCGAGGTACAAGTTCGCAGAGAGAAGGGTCTATGCTACACTTGCGATGCCAAGTTTTCTCCCAACCATAGATGCCCCAACCGTCAGATGATGATGATGATATGTGATGATGACCCTCAGAGGGATGAAGAGATACAGAATGAAGAAGAAACCGTGGTGGAAGCGACACTATACCACTTATCACTACACGCTCTAAGAGGAACTCAGGGCCCCGCCACAATACGTTTCAATGGCCGTATCAATGGAACTGATGTACAAATATTATTGGATGGTGGGAGTTCTGATAACTTTAAACACCCTCGTATAGTGGAGCACCTAGGATTACCGGTAGAATATACCACAGAGTTGCGAGTATTAGGGGGAACGGGGCAGATCTTAAGAAGCAATGAGCGAGTCATGAATGTGCCCATACAGATAAGTGACCACACCCTTGAACTGACTCTGTTTGTGTTGCCCATAGCAGGGGTAGATTTAGTAATGGGGGCAGACTGGTTGGAGACGTTAGGGGCTCATGTGGCAGATTACAGTACTTCTACTATAAGGTTCCTTCAAGATGGACAATTTGTAATGTTGAGAGGATACCGGGGACCTTCTATGACCCATGCCAATTTTCATCATCTTGTTCGGCTATGCCAGACTGACGCTGTGGCAGAGATATATATTATGAACGCAACCCCCATAGCAGAAACATTGGCAGAAGAAGAAGTAGCGGCGGACATTGCTCAGATCCTTCAACGATATGGAGAGGTTTTTGAGCAACCGCATGGGTTACCGCCGAGTCGTGATCATGAGCAACGAATTGAATCAGAAACAGGAGCAACATCTGATGTGTTAACTTCATAAGTACATGGTGTGGAAAGAGTACAATCCACATGAGCAACTGTAGAGTACTTCACGTCATCACCATGCGTGGGGGAAGGAGAAGAATGGGATGGAGA